CTATATAAATAGATATATATAGCACTTGTATCTTGTAGCACTAGGGTTCTTGGTTCAAATCCCAACACAGACACTATCTCCCTGTGATTGCGTGGATTTTCTCCCACACTCTACAGACTTGCTGGTAGCTTATTTGGCTCCTATGTAAATTGGCACTAGTATGTGTATGTATGCATATGAGAGAGGGACCTTAGATTGCAAGCTTGTCGAGGGCTGGGACTGTGCTATATAAATAAATACATTTCAATGGTTTGACTCCAGTAATTTAAGCAACAACTTGACAAAGGACCAACATCCAATAAAATCTAGAGTGTTATGATATTCATAAACCAATTTTTGGACCATATCCAGCAGGAATGGACAATCCCCAGGACACCATGGCAACTGAAAACAAAAAACTCTGGCGGCTGAGTCATTGAGAGCTTTTGCCCTTGGGGAGGTAGGCACTGAGAAGCCTGGGCTATTATCAAGCGTGTCTTTAGCTGTAATTGACAGCTCCCTAGGCTGTCAATTACAAAGCCTGGCGCACCCACCTCCATGGCATAAGTGAAATATCACCGGTGACTGAGGATGTTGGCCCACTGACATTTTATATGATCAATAGAGTTCAAATGTTTTGCTGTCATACCATTTTTTATAATAATAATAACGTTCAGATATTAGGCAGCGCACTCCCATGATTACAAAAAACAGTATGATAGTAGCATTGAAACTATTGGCTGTAAAAAGTAGAACTGTCAGCTGTAAAAAAAATTGTGTTTTAGTGACATATACAAACATAAAAATAAGCACATAGTAGTTAACTATTTGGAAATGGTTTCCGAAAGTACAGGGTCTTGGGCTGATTTGAGGTCTGAAGGTGCATAATTTGGGGCAAAGCTAAGGTCTAAGGGTGCTGGCTCCTGGGTTGAGGCTGGATCTTAGTTCTAGGTAAGATGTATCCAAGCCTGATATAGAGTCCACCATTATGTGATCATTGAAGAGGTTTAGTGCCTGGATACAGAGCTTATCTTTTCTGCGGGTTAATGTACAACACTTTACACCCTGCAATATGATCCAAGTGTTTCAATCATTTTCTCATCTCACGCTAAAAATGCACATTTTAAATCAATTTATGGCAAGATAAGAAAACAAATTCGATTTCAGCAGGACTACAGAAAAAAAGGCTAGATTTCAAGATCAATTTAAATTAAGTTTGTCCCTGCACATTATACCACTCGGAAGATATACTATTAAATCGATTAAATTCAATATTCAGATGAACAAATCCAAACACACTGTTAAACAGCTCTGTCATTACCTTGATTAAAGATTTCTTTGGCTGGGGGAATAAGCACAGGGCTTGTTCAGTCGATAGGCAGGCATAAAGCTTTACATATGTATGAATATGTGGCCTTTCAGAACCACAGTGACAAACAACTGAAATTAAATATATCTATCATCTGACAAATGAAACATGAAAAATCATACTTCTGTAGTATTGCAACCGTATATTTTTATCATATATTTTTATAATAAAGCTAAGCTTTATTTCTATCTAAAATGGCAACATCATAAACCCTTTTATCACTTTCAAAATCTAAAACCTGTTCAAAGCATTTTAAGTCGTGTGCTACGGCAACCCGCAGATGCTGCAGTGCCGTCCGTCCGTTTTTTTACTACGGGCGGACGGCAAGAGGTTAAGGGTGGGCCTATGTCGAAAGGCTTTGGGATTGTGTCAACGGTCAAATGCAGCTTGCTTTCAAGTGCATCCACCTTGCATTTCATATTGAAATGCTTCTGACATTATTCAGAGTTCATCGACAGGTGCATTAGACCTACAGATCACCTTATTAAAATGGGAGAGAAGCAGTACAGCAGTGAACAAAAATCTGATGACACAGGCTCTTATAATGGCAGTGCACATATTAAAGGACACATGGGGTTGTTTTTGAATTGGTCAGAGATCTGAGATGTATTTTGGTCTTCAAACCTGATGATGAATTCTTACAAGAGCAGTATCCTCCTGTGATTGATTTTTTTTTGTGGTATATATTGACCTCCATCATCCCCCCTATAAAAAGCATATGTATGTAAAAGTTGTTTATTGAAACACAGTTGGGGCTAAACTGGAAACTATGTTGCTATTGATGGCCAATCAGATTACAATTGTGGCCAACACAAGTCATGTTTCTTTGCTAGTTCTTTTTATACACAAGACCACCATGTGTTATGATTGCAAGGCTAATGCATAATGGCAAAGCGAAGCAGCATACTTCTCCCTTACACAGGCTAATCTTCTATTAACCTTTAGTGGATTTGTTGACAGAAATCGCATTACATCCATGGTTGCTTAAAGACACCAAGAAAGAATAAAAAGATACCC